CTCCGAATCTGGAGGCTTTATCGGCCCAAAGACGTCATGCGCCGATGGGGCTCCGAATCTGGAGACTTTATTTGGCCAATCGTGACATCTACGAAGGGCGCTTCAAATCCGAAGGCTTTATTTGGCCAATCGTGACATCCACGAAGGGCGCTCCGAATCCGGAGGCTTTATCGGCCCAAAGACGTCATGCGCCGATGGGGCTCCGAATCCAGAGACTTTATTTGGAACACTTTTGAACTGCATTGCACAGTGAGTAAACATGAATCTTTACATTACAGAAGTGGAAAGTGTACATGGTGGGCCATTTAGAACCAAAATCATTCCCCACAGGTTGGGTTTAACGATAGAATTTGCGCAAGTGCGTTAGGAGCAAGGCCGCGTGCCTAATTTTCCATCAACCGACTTCCTATCATCCGGAAATACCTTTAGGAGCAACTTTCCCGGCATGTAGCGGCGCTGCTGGACACGTTAAGCATACGTCTCGGGAAGCTGCTGCTGGTATTGCCTAGAGCTTCCGTGGCTTTTCGTCAGGGAGCTGTCCGACATCGTCGAGACTGTCTCGATTCGACACTTCAGTGGAGTTGACCTGCGTCTCCGTTGGTGTTTTTCCAAAAAGGAGATAGCATGCTTGTGCGGATTGTCGGGAACCACGAATTTGCTCAACGTTGTGTTCGGTCGGAAAGCGTAACAGCTGATGATAGGTGCTTGGCACGACCTGAATAGTATGCAACCAAGTTCGCCCCATGATGAGGTTATACGGCGAAGGGAGCTTGACGACCAAGAATTCCACATCCACTGTTTGGGAGCCCGCCCGAACGGGTAACGTGATTTTCCCCAACGGGTACTCTGGATTTGCGTTGAAGCCGAATAATGGATGAGGAGCCGGAGACAGGTCTGATTCGTTGAAGTCGAGTTTGATGAAGGTCTCGTAATACATGACCTCCAAAGTGCTCCCCTGGTCTATGAGGACGCGTACAACGGTAAATCGGTTCACGTGTAGTTCAATGACCAATGGATTAATATAGGAGAGCGTTATGTTGATAAGATCGGAATCGTCGAAGGTAATGCTCAGAGCTTCGTGGGGCTGTTTCATTTGTGTGCGTTGCTTCTGGGGGGCTGAATGAATTGCGTGTATGGTACGTGGCGTTGGAAGGCTGTATATCATATGTATAACGCCGAGGGGAGGTGACTCATGCCGAAGGGCGACAGTTTTGATTGTGCTTTTCCGGACGTGTTGCTGGAGCCGACCATCTTGGAGCAATTCCTCAAGGTGGTCTTTCAAGGCATAGCAGTTGTCCGTATCATGACCGTGATCTTTGTGATATTCACAACGTCTGTCCCGCCTTCTCGTGTCAGGAGGTCCCACCATCTTGGACGGCCATTTGAAGAACGGAAGATGTTGGATTTTGGACATAATCGAGCTAATTGGCTCTGACAGCTCCGTATATTTCTTGTCGGCGCGCTTTGTGTGCTTGCTATCGACCTGCAATTGTTCATTTGCTTGGTGTGAGCATTGATCACTGGATTGACGAGAATCCCGTCTCTTGTCTCGTTTAGCCCGCTGTCGTGGTTCAGGGCTCTGAGGTGGTGCGGAACTTATCGGTTGAGCGATTTCGAGAGGGGCCGTTTTGTTGGCCACGTATCCGACTTTAACCCACAAGGCGTCATCTTCCACTTTGCAGTATTCCTCTACTTTCTTCATCAACCCCCAAACTGTTTTGGGGGGTCTTCTAGTCAAGGAACTGCGGAGGGCACTATCTGGGTGTAATCCCATTTTGAAGGCGGTGATGGCCATGGAGTCGTTGCAAGCGTCATCAACAAGATTAAAGCATTCCCAATATCGCGCCGAATATGCTCTTAGTGTTTCTCCTGGAAGGATTTGCATTGCCTAGAGAGAGTTGACTTGCTTCGGCTGGACTTTGTTGGTGATGAATCTGGCCCTGAAGGATTTCTGTAGTTGGTGGAAGGTTTTGATCGAAGTCGGCTCCAGTTTATAATAACACCTGACCGCCAATGGTCCCAAACTGCTGAGAAATATTCGGCACATGAGGGCCTCGTCGTCTGCATGCAATGTCATGGCCTGCTTGTAGTGGCGGATGTGGTCGGTGGGGTCTGATTTGCCGTCGTACAAGGTGAAGGACAATGCTTTGAATTTCTTGGGTAGCGCAGCCTTTGCAATCCATCGTACGAAGGGATCGTGTTGGTCTTCGTCCGAACTGTTCCTTCTTCGCTTGCGCATTGTACGGGGACTTTCTTCGGAAGAACTGGTGGTTTCATGCCGTCCCTTCTTCCTGGGCTCCGGGGATAATGAGTTGGAGTTGCTATCAGTGTCTTGTCGTGCTCGAGGTTGTCGACCACTTGCCTTCAGAGATCGTTCTGGATTTAGGCGCGCAGCTTGCTTGGACTTCGCCATTTCCAAGGCCAAATCTTCACGAAGACGTTCGTTTTCAGCGATCATGTTCTCCAAGCTCTGTTCATTTTGCTTTGCTTGTTCCATGATCGCCTGCATTGTCTCGTGCTCCAAAGTCGAGGGTGAGGCGAAATTCAAGGTAGGTCTTGCGACGATAGTCTCTGTTCCAAGCAAGTTTGTTGGAGTGGTTTCGTCTTGCGGTATAGGGTCGACAGTGACTGTCGGAGGATCTTCCGTCACGCTCGCCATGGATGTGCTTGAGTATTCCCACAGACGGCGCCAATTGTGGAGAAGTGGTTTGGAAATACTCTT